TTGAATATCTGAAAATAATTAGGTCATAATTTGGTACTTTAAAAAATTCTCATTCATCTTTGATTTATAGTTCATGATATTTATATAATTGGATTCGTATGAAAAAATGGAGCAATTTTTATGTTTACATTTTTGCAAATGGTTGAGACATGAGCAAGTTGCAGGGCTTCTGGCTGGAGGTTGAAGATGAAGTGTATTTAGGGTAGGATTTGTGTTATATATTTATGGTTTAACATAAGTTAACAGATGTATCACCACCCCAGTGGTTAAAGCGCGCGCCTGTCACCATAAGGTCCTGGGTTCAAGCCCCAACGTGACCTTTTTTCCATTTTCCACTTTTTTGACATTTTTTTGTGTTTTTGCAGCGCCTGGGCCATCCTTTGGGCCTGACTTTTATTTCTCACAATACCCCCTGTTTCACTTATCAACCTCCCTGACTTATTTTTATTTTATTTTACTTTTTTTATCTTTTATTTATTATTACTAATAATACTATTATTATTATTATTATTATTATTATTATTTTCATTAATCATGAAAAATCCAAAAATATTTTATTTATTATTTACACTTATTTATTTTATTTTCTTATGAAACAAAAATATTAAAAACATTTTCTTTTAACAAATTAATTTCTCTTTTAAATGATTAAATATTTAGACTTAGGCTTAATAATTATTTTATTTTCTTAATTAAAATTAACTTAGAATTTAGGTTTCTTTTAATTATTTAATTTTCATTTTTATTATTATTTAATTTAAAATGTTTTTTTATAAAAATCCTAAAAATATTTTTTAACTTAATTTCTTCCTTAATTAGTTTAAACTTAATTTGTTTATTTTTAATTAATCATCTTCTTCAAATTAGGTTAGAAAGCCCTTTTCATAAAAAAAACAAACTTAAATTACATTTTCTTTTTTACATTTGCATTCTTGCACTTTATTCAATTATTTGTACATATTCAATATGGTTGTAATATTATTTAGATTCAATTTTTTGCAATATTTCCCATTTGTAAATTTGTATACCCCCCCCCCCCCCCCTAAGTGATGTAATAGTGTAGTAATTTTAAATTCCACAATTTATCGCTTTATATACAAATGCTAGTAATGAGTGTTTTGTATGGAAAGACTAAAACCAATCAATAGCAAACCCTAATCAAAGATAAACAAGCATGAAAATCAACCCACTTGCACACAAGCACTCCTAGGGTAAATCCACTTGGTTTCCTTACAAAAAATGGTCATATTACGGATGTGAGGTATCTTAGTAAAAACAAGCAAAATACAAGATCATAGTCCCTCGATGACGCTATCATATTTGCCTTTCAAAAATGATCTTAGTCCCTAAAGAAAAATGCTAAGATATCTTGCAACATTGCTAATCATGATTATACGATGACCCACGCCCGTCCCGTTTACATCCAAAGATAGGGTTACTTACCAAATGAATGATAAGATAACAATGTCAAAGGAAAAAGGAAATGAACATGAAAGACTTTTGAATAGGTAGAATGTTCCTAGTTACTTGCTCCATTTCAAAACAAAAACATCCTTGTTATTTTCAAAACAAACACCAACACTTCCAAAATATCTTTCAAAACTTGAAAACATTTTCAAAAGATCAACACTTTGTATACATTCCTACGAACGAGAATCATTACAAAGTTTGCCTAAAAAATGGCCTCTATTCAAAAATACTTTCAAAACCACACAAAGCACAATTTCAAACAAAAGCAAGTGATCTAGCAAGTAACTAAGAGCCCATGAAAAACCATGGATGAAAAGGATGCTAATATCTTCCCTTTTCATAATCTACCCCCCGAACTCAAGAAACAATCTCAAAGGTCTTTCCTGTGCTTTTTCACTTTTCCTTTTGGATAAAAGAAAAGTCGGTGGCGACTCTTGCTAACCGCAACATTTGCGATCAAACGTAAAACACTCAAGCCAGTTCTCTCACCATATCACAACAGGTAACTCTTCCATTTTTCTACACACCTTCAAAACATCCTTGGGAGCAAAGTTCTCACTCAACGATATGGGAAATCCAAGTCATTTTCTCGGTGTTGGGCTACTTCCTACTCCAAAAGGCATATTTCTCTCCCAACAACATTACATCCGAGATATATTACAAAAAGGAAACATGCTTGATGCCAATCCTGTGTGTACTCTTATGGCCACCTTAAATCCTCTTATCTCACAGTCTGTTGCATAAGGTTGTGATGCATCCCTATACCACATCATCATTGGCTCTCTTCATTACTTATCCATCACTCGTTTAGACGTGGCATTTACAGTCAACAAACTATCCCAACACATGCAAGCTCCCACAACCAATAATATGCAAGAATTAAAGTGTATTCTACACTATTTGAAACATATTTTCTCCCAAGATTTGCATCGAGTTCGAGAAACCACATTCCATCTCACCGCCTTTTGTGATATTGATTGGGGTGGTGACACTGCTGATAGGAAATCCACGTGTGCCTACATTGTCTATCTTGGTCCAAACGTAATCTCATGGTTACATAGGCGGAATATTGAATGATTGGTTCAACCAATACTAAATTATTATGGTTACAACAATTACTATCTGAGCTTGGCATTCAAATCTCTCGACCGCCAACCATTCTCACATACAACATTGGAGAAAATTACTTATTTGTCAATCTCGTATTTCACACTAGAATGAAACATCTATCAATTGACTATCATTTTTCCGAGGTCTTGTTGCCAAGAAAGTGTTAGACGATGTGATCGATCTAGAAGGGGGATTGAGTAGATCGTTTAAAATAATTTGCGCTTTTTAAAATTGTTTTTAGAAAAATATGCGAAAGCTTCCTAGAATCTCCAATCGTCTAAATGATCATCTATTGAAAAGATCGGATATGCTAAACCGTATGGGATATAATGATAAAATAAGAATCAATGCATTTTACTCAATTGATCAATTACTTATACACTCTCAATGATTACTAATTACTACCAATGAGTTGAATGAGATAAGGATAAGCACAATCAATAATTTTGTGGATTAGTCAATTTGTCAAACCCCTTGTGAGCAAAGCACCTTAGGTTTGATTTTAAAAAATTGTAGTGGTAAGTTTTCTTAGGTATCAATCAAAAGGATTGTTACCAATATTTTGAAATGAACTCAACACACTACAATTTCAATAAGTGCAGATTTGACAAATTAATTTTCGCACAGTTTAGTAAGCAAGTATAGAAATAAAGAAAAAGCAGAAGAACACACGATTTGTTAAGGAATTTCACCTTGTCGTCCTCGCGTAGGGTACGTCTGCTCCCAATTCTAGAATCTATAATTGAGATATTTGATATTAAGTTGCAAATGATACAAGAGAAGAGATAGTTCACAATACAATCAAACCAATGTTGCTGATGTAACAATCTCCTTCCCTTTCTTTGGTTTGAGCAAAACCAAGTGCCAAATTATTCGAACAAACCTCCGGTTATCGCTACTTGATTAAGCAAACCCACCGTCTCTTAATCCTTTCACTCGACTGGTTTCGATCGCAAGAAATTTGACCCCAAATCTATCTTCACAATCCTCGTGTTACCGCTACTTGATTAAGCAAATCCACTGTTTCTTAATCCTTTCACTCGGCTGAATTCAATGAAGCAAAAACTTGTGCAAAAACCCCCGCACCAATAGGAATCTTGGAGGAGAAAATCCCAATGATTTTATTCAAGAACAACCCACAATTGCTCAACTCAAATCTGAATTGAATTCTTGATTTGAACGTTATCACCACATCAATTTTCTTGAATCAACAACCATGATTATGTGTAGATGTTGATTTTTGAGAAGAGAGGATGAAGATGATGAGCACTATGTGTATCTTTCACTAGTTCTTGTTAACTTCCAATAATGATGCATAATGAATATATATTACCTAATAGACAGGATTCACAAACATAGCAGAAAATCAGTTGAAGCAAGCGAGCGGTCGACGCAACCAGAAGAGCGGGTCGGCGCGACACAACCCGCATCCAGAGGAAAAACTATTTTGAAGTGTAATGCGTCGACCGCTTCAGGACTTGCATCGACGCAAACATCAAATACTATGATTCCCAGGTTGAGTCGACCAGAAGGGTCGACGCGATACATCCAGCTGTCAGAGAGAAATCCATTTTGAAGTGTAGTGCGTCGACCGCTTCAGGGCTTGCATCGACGCAAATTTTGAATGTTTTAAATTCCAGTTTGAGTCAAGCGGAAGGGTCGATCTGACACATCCAGGGCTTGATTGAAGATAATGAGTCGACCGCATCTATCTTTGAGTCGACGCACAAATTGTATTTTCTCAAAACTACTTGTTTCTGGAGATCTTTGTTCAATAATTCCATTGTAAAATTGTTCATAGAGCCAATCAAGATAGAGAGAAATTTATAATTGTTTTGACATCATTAAAATACTTATAGAGAGACTTTGTCCTCACACGTCGCACACTCAGAAGAGTCCTCAATACGGCGTTGCATGTCGTCAAACTGGATGGTGAGTGACGCGACTTGGCGAGCCAGCTCAGCCACTTCTAAAGGAGACGGTGGAGAGTGCGAAGACATGCAGGGAGTGGAATCACAATGAAAGCACCAATAATAACTCTCAATTTCGAGGACTCAGACAACCTCCTACTGAAATGTATAAGAAAGGAAATGAACTTAAGATTTAACTTTATTGATGCCTTAACATGTACTAGTACAAGGCTATATAAAGGAAATACATATGGTAACTACTGTCAAAACATACAAATGAAGACTTTATTTGTAAACAATGTGATCTTTCAGTTTAGATGGAAGCTTTCTAATGCGACTGGGCCGTGTTGATCCAACATTATTATTGGGCTGAGTATTATTAGGAACCGGGGGGTGTTCATATCAGAACTTCTAATATTGAATTACAAAGATTGAAACTTTATTGAAAATTACACAATCACTTAATACAAAACATGACACATCTTTATTTATTGTTAGTCAGATGTTTCTTCATTTTTTCTCATGTTTGGTAGCCACAGCAAGGAGAGGGTATTTCCTATGACAGGCAATGCCCACACTCTCAGACATGTCCAAATCCTTCCCTGCTACTCCATCAGGCAATTTCCAATCAAATTGGCAAACAAGGTTTGCTAGCACCAACTCATTCACAGCAATGGCAAATGACATTCCAGGACAACCCCTCCTTCCAGCTCCAAATGGTATAAGTTCAAAATCCAATCCTTTAAAATCTATTGAACTATTCATAAACCTTTCTGGTTTAAACTCTAGAGGTTCTTCCCAACTTGAAGGGTCTCTTGCAATCGCCCAAGCATTCACTATTACCTGTGTGCCAACTGCAATGTCATAGCCATCTAATTTGATATCTTCCATACATCTCCGAGGGACTAATAACGGAATCGGGACATGCAGGCGAAGAGTTTCTTTGATCACAGCCTTCAAGTAGTTCATGTTAACCAAATCCTCTTCAGTTACATGAGTTTTGTTACCAACCACAGTTCTCACCTCATCTTGCAATTTATGCATCACGGTTTGGTGTCTTAACAGTTCTGTCATTGCCCATTCTAGAACGGTGTATGTAGTGTCAGTACCTGCAGCAAACATGTCCTGCATGCCAGGAAATGCATAACTTAATATAAACAAATTATGTTAGAGTGTGTGCAACATAGTATAACTATAAATGAATAGTATTGTTACTAACCAGTATCAAAGCTTTTATTGCAGTTCTATCAATTAGGAAGCCAGTAGCATTAGTCTTTTGAACTGAAAGCAAAACATCCACAAAATCATTATCATCAACACCAACATCTTCATCAGATCTACGACTAATGTGATCCTCAATTACTTCTTCTATAAACTCATCCAAATGTTTGGCTACTCTTTCTGCCTTTCTATAAAAACCATTTACTTTTCCCAACCAATAAAGCCAAGGTATATAGTCTCCAATAGATATAGTACCCAATAATTCCCCAAACTCCGACAACACTTGCTGAAATTTCTTCCCTCTTCCTTCACGGTATCTCCTTCCTAGAGCCACCCTACATACTATATCATTAGTAACCATAGAACACAACTCAGATAAGTTCAACGGCGACGATGCAGAAGAAGAATATTCCATCATTCTTGAAGTTTCTTCCTGTCTAACACGACGATAAGATTGAACCCTTTTATTACTCAGAACGTGCAACACACAGAGACTCCTTATTTGCCTCCAATACTCACCATATGCACAACTTGACACATCCTTGGAACCGTATAAAAGGATGTCAAAGGTTTTACTTTGTGGCCTATCGGAGAAAACCAAATCGTGAGTTTTCATTATTTTTCTTGCTGCATCAGCAGAAGAAACCACAAGTACTGGAACATTTCCAAAATAAAGAAGCATTAAAGGGCCATATTTGTGAGATAAAGTTTGAAGTGTGCGGTGAGGGAATAAGCCAAGTTGAAGGAGATTACCAAGGAGTGGAAATCTTGGAGGTGATGGTGGTGAGTTTTTTATGGTGGCAGAAGAACTGTTGGAATAATACAAAAATTTGATTATGAAGAAAAGAGATAGTAAGAGTGGAAAGAAAGTGAAGAAAAACATAGAGAATGGCGAATAGAAGTTTGCATGTGAAAGAAAACTTTGGAGAAAGGTGAACATGGACATGGCTTAAGTTTCCCTTTAGGTGATAAAAAACACTCTTCGTGTGCTGATATATCACTTGGTGTTATGATGTTTGTTAGTTCTTTTTCTGGTATTAATATAAGGTATATTTTTTTGTGCTATATTTCTATATTTAGAAATAATTTATATTTATAATATGTATCAATCAAATTTTGTCATATAAAATAAAATTTTGAAATTATATATTAATCTAAAATTTTAAAGAATCAAATTGAAATTAAAAAAATAATATATAATTTAATTTTTAAATAATAAGATATTAATATGTCATGTGTGAGTAAAAATTTTCACATTAAATGAAAAAAAAAATTAAACTTTTTTTAAGTGAAAAAAGACATATACTATTAAAAGATAAATTACTCTAATTTTACACTGGATAACTTATGCCTCACCTTAATATAATTATAATAAAAATGATTTAAATGAAAGTGAGACCATACAAATTTTATCCGAATTAGGAAAATGATAGAGAGGAGGACATAGAAGAAGATAGCTTGTCTACCTCATATATAAAAAAAGTTGTTTGTTTTATTCTAAGTAAAACTTTAAATATATCAAACTTTATATATATATATATATATATATATATATATATATATATATATATATATATATATATATATATATATATATATATATATATATATATATATATATATATATATATATATATATATATATATATATATATATATATATATATATATATATATATATAATTTAATTTTGAATAATAATTTAAAATCATTATAGTCAACTTTCAAATATTTTTATTGCCATGAAACTTTTCAATTTTGTTACCAAAATAAAGAAGCATCAAAGGGCCATATTTATGAGATAAAGTTTGAAGTGTGCGGTGAGGGAATAAGCCAAATTGAAGGAGATTACCAAGTAGTGGAAATCTTGGAGGTGATGGTGGTAAGTTCTTTGTGGTGGCAGAAGAATTATTGGAATAATACAAATATTTGATTATGAAGAAAATAGATAGTAAGAGTGGAAAGAAAGTGAAGAAAAACATAGAGAATGGTGAATAGAAGTTTGCATGTGAAAGAAAACTTTGTAGAAAGGTGAACATGGCTTAAGCTTTAGTCACAGCATTGAATGAAAGTGAGAAAATATAAATTTTATCTGAAATTTGATAATGTTAGAGAGGAGAAGACAATGTTGGTTAAATTTAAATCAATCTTAGGTAAATTAAAAGTCAGATTCTCTTGAACAGTGGGAAATTTATTCTTTAGGGACTTAGACATAGTTATTGATGTAAACTCATTATATTTCATATTGTGATCCTATATAAATCACATTGTATCTCATATTGAAAGTTAGTTGGACAAAATCTATAAAGAAAAGAAAGTTCATAGTCCACTCTCATTCTCTTTATATTTCTTCAAATTGGTATCAGAGCGCATGGCAAATATGATGGGTCAGATGCCACTGCCACGATTTTCAAAGTCGAACTATGAAAACTGGAGTATCCAAATGAAGGCGCTGCTGGGATCGTTAGATGTATGGGAAGTGACTAACGATGGGTTTGAAGAACCATCAAATACGACGGCATACACAGCTGCTCAGAACAAGACGTTGAAAGAAACGCGGGCAAGAGACAAAACAACATTGTACATGCTGTTCAGAGCAGTTGATGAATCAGCCTTCGAAAAGATTGCTGGTTCGACTACGTCGAAGGAGGCATGGGACACGCTAGAAAAGGCCTTCAGAGGAGCAGATAGAGTCAATCAAGTTCTCTTGCAAACTCTTTAAGGAGAAATAGAGAGAATGAAGATGAAAGAGACAGAGTTCGTATCGGATTACATTACTCGTGTGCAGATGATGGCAAATCAACTCAATCGAAATGGAGAAGCAACGTCTGATGCTCGTATTGTCGAAAAGATTTTGAGATCTTTGACAGATAGGTTTGAAAACATAGTATGCGCAATATAAGAGGCAAAGGACTTTTCAACAATCACTGTCGAAGAAGTCGCTGGTTCGCTTGAGGCACATGAACAGCGCAAAATAAAGAAGAAGGAGGAGGCACTTGAGGATGCAGAACCCAACAGAGATGAAAATGCACTTTCTCTTAAAATTGGCGTGGGAGAGGACATGGTCGTGGAGGACGTAATGGTGGTTGAAGTTACCAAAATAACAACTTCGACAGAGGATAATCAAGCCAACAAAACTGGCATGGCAGAGGACGTGGCCAGAGAGGTGGTAGATCGAATTACAACAACATCGAATGTTACAAATGCAACAAACAGGGGCACTATGCGAAAGATTGCAACTCCTACAGTTGCTACAACTATGGTAAAACGGGACATCTTGCAAAAGACTGTTGATCCAGAAGAAAGGTAGAAGAGACAACAAATCTTGCCCTAGAAACAGAATCGAATGAAGGATTTTTGTTAATGACTCAAAAGGAAGCAGATGCAGAAAATGACACTATGTGGTTGTTGGCTCCTGAATTTGACACTTACTATATTTGGTCTTTTAGACCAAAACTGGAATAAATAAAGCCAAGCTGAAGAATATTTTGACGTGTGAAATGACTTAGAAAAAGATCTAAGTTATATTTGAGTCTTCGACCAGGGCTAACTTTCAAGATTTCGACTGAGAAGGTCTTATGACCTTCGACTAAGAGAGAATATCATTGCGCCGACACAAAAGGCGAAGGATATTTGAATTTGAATTATTGAAGGGAAGGACAGTTTCACCAGTGGCTAAAGAGAAGCAACGTGGCTGGAAGCTAGAGGTCGAGGGACATGCAGAGGACACTTGTCCTCATCTTAGCGCAAAATCACCCCTCGACGGTTACATAGTTTTTAGTATAAATTAGGAAATTTGTGTAGTTTTTCGGTGTGTTCAACCTATTGTGCTAGTTACTCAAATATTGTCCAAGTACCCGCTGTGTGAGAAAGGATAAACTGAGAAATGTACGTTGGAAACACCTCTTTTCATTAATAAAAGTCTTTTACATTGCTTTAATCTCATTCTGAAAAGTTACTTTTTCTGTACCTTTACCTGCATTTCTACATTTCTATTTACTTTCTTACTTTCCAAAACCACAAGTATCTTGTCTCTGGTCGAACATGCATTCTTCCTGATTTCTTTTCTTACTCACATCAACCCGGTATAAAAATTAGCATATGTTCTGGTATCAATCTGATCGATCCCGCGAGTAACCAAAAGAACTTTCCTTTTTGGAGGATCAGCGATTGTTTACCAAAAACCACGGTAAATAAATTGGCACACCCGGTGGTACCTTGCTAATTTTTATTAAACATCTTGTTCATGTTATTGCGTTTCTTCTGTACATTTATAACGTTGCATGTTATTAAGAAGTGGTAGAGTAACCAACGAGTGTACTGTTAGGAAGAAAAATAGCGAGAGTAGTATGGCTAACGAGCCAAATCACAGAGAAATGCCTCCACCAACTGCTGGAACAATGGTTACTACCGCCGTCGAAGGAAATATCCCAAATTCCGTTGGATCAATACCGACGCTAACCACAAATCAGACAAGACCCTTACTTTCATATATGGGTCCAAGAGGTCCATTAGGAACGCCCCTACCAAGGGAAAATCCAGGATCTCGACCATTCGTGCCCCCAGGATTTTCGACAACATGGATGGGTCGAGAACAGCCATATGGCATGCCAACCACTGAAATGGCTAGCCTTATGAACGTTGCTTCCACTTTTTCAAAGCCTTTGGTGAATGCATCATCGCCATTACAGGGATCTGGAGCCAGTATGGCAAATTTGGGTAGAAACCAATTCTTAGGAGGGCCATCTCATACAATACCAAGCCTCACAAATGCTTCGACAGCAATTTTGAGGCAACAGATGGACGAAAGTAATCATGATATGGTGCAAATGTTAGCACAAACTCTAAGTACAGTGCTTAATCCCCTCATTCAAAATGCTACTCAGTCGAACCAACAAATGACAATGCAAATGACGCGCATAGCTGAATTCTTTGGGGTACCCCAAACTATTCGACAACCCCAGAGGATACCAATAAGAGCAAACCAAGGGGCAATCATGGAAGAGGATTTGACCGTTAATCCAAATCCTCAGATCCCTAGAGTAGAAATGGAACAACCAAGGGTCGAAATACCACGAAATCCCCCACCAATCCCTAGAGAAATCGATCAAGGAGTGATTATGGTAAATAGAAACCAAAATGCTGATGAATTGATACAGCAAGTTTGACACCAAAATTATGGAACAAACAATAATCTAACTACCATGATCGAAAGGATTATGATTCAAAATGGGATGAACATTGGTTTTCACAGACCAAACTTCACATCCCCATTGTCAGAATATATTCTACAAACAGACTTACCCCCTAGGGGAAAGGTTCCCAAGTTTACTAAATTTTCAGGGGATACGACAGAATCCACTATCGAACATGTAGCTAGATATTTGATAGAGGCCGGGGAAATAGCAAACAACGAAAACCTTAGGATCAAATATTTCCCAAGTTCCTTAACAAAGAATGCTTTCACTTGGTTCACTACCCTCCCAGCCAATTCGGTCCACAATTGGAGTCAATTGGAAAGATTGTTCCATGAGCAATTTTACATGGGACAAACCAAGATTAGTCAAAGAATTGGCTAGTGTGAAGAGAAGATTCACTGAGCCAATCGATGAGTATTTAAATAGGTTTCGATTACTTAAAGCCAGGTGCTTTACCCAAGTGCCTGAGCATGAATTGGTTGAAATAGCAGCAGGGGGCCTGGATTATTCAATTAGGAAAAAGTTAGATACTCAATATCTGAGAGACATGGCCCAACTGGCCGATAGAGTTCAACAGGTAGAATGCCTTAAAGCTGAGAAAGCTAAAGCTACCAAAACTCATCGAAGAGAAAGGGTAGCCTATGTTGAAATGGATGATGACGATCCAGAGATATCTAATGATCCT